GTCAGCTGAGTTCTTCTATTTAAATACACTGCAATTTGTTTCAGTCAGATAACTACTTCCTAAAGTGCAGAAATAATATATATGTATATTTCAGTTCTTATGGGAAAATAATCATGTAATAATTTAATCAATGTAAGGATTGAACCATGTAGAACATGTTTTGTCAACGAGCTACAAACAGATATGGATTTTAATTTATTTTTGTTCTCCGTGTTCTTCTGAATGTTTATGACGTAGATGGTAGTGAAGTAACAAACATCCCATGAAAGCTTAAAGGAGCAACAAGTGGAGGCAGACAGCCTGCTCGTTAATACACTGTGTTACAAGCAGATAAGATATCCGATATATACAACTTACTAGACCACTACATTTGTTTTTAGGTTCAATGGTAAATGGATGGGGCTCTGCATCTGATGAGGATCGTAACTTTTCTAGTCATAGATCTAGTGTAGGTAGCTCCTCAGATGGCTCCATTTTTGCCAGCGGCAGCTTTGCACAAGCATTGGTGGCAGCAGCAGATAAAGCTGGTTTTAGGCTGGATGGAACCAGCCTTACAAGAACAGGTTGGTAGACTCCAAGTCAACACTCTTTGCATGAGAGAAGCTTCTCCTCTGGACACTGACCTTTCCTTCTATTCTTTCTTCTCAGTGAATCTAATTGCAGGCTTTTTAAAATATGCATGAACACAGTGGGGATGGATGCTCTGTTTCCAGAACTCTCTTTTGATGTGTGAATTGCAGAGCCAAAAATAAGCTTCTGCTCACCACCTTGCATCCCATCCATCCCTTTCTCTTCATGACTCTGCTGGTTAATTGCAATATTCTTCCTTTCACATTACAACAAAGCCACAATTAAGATTGCCATTAAATTTTCAGTAACTCACACATTACAAAATCCTGGTAAAATCAATAATGAACTTAGTGATTAAAATTATTCAGCTTTTATCTCCATTACTTTCTTTTGCCCCATTTCTTTCTACAATGGCCCTTTCTGGGAAGACTTCCTCAGCATGGGGTGAATGGGTCTGAGGCTGTCCATCTAACAGCTCATATGACTGATGGTTCTAATTGTATGACTATGATTTTAATACAATAATTTATTTTTTTAAAGGATGCTAATTAAAGATACACCTACTGCGTTTGCAAGTTAAATAAAATGATGCCTACATGTGTATTGATCTTTAAAGTAACTTCATTTGATTCCTAAGTGTAACAAGTAATAATATAAAAGTGAAATTACAGAATTTTCATGCCAAACTCACAAAAAATGTGAGGTCAACTCTAGTAATTCATTAGTATTTTGTAATCATTTGTTTTTCAGAATAAAATCATGTTGGCATGATGCATGCTTTTATATTTACCTGTGTACTTTTTAACAACACATCTATATAGGTAATATATAAATTAAACTGAGTTATCTTACCAAATAAACTCATAAAATTTAAATGCATTTTAAACTTATAATAGCATTCAAATTGTAAAGAAAAATTACTTTGAACATTTATGATACTTTCAAGTTATAAAAGTTTGTCTGGGATGTTGTCTTTAAATTACAACATCAATATTTCTCTTGCATGTGCATTATTTATTCTTAAACAAAATGAAAATATTTTTCAGGCATTGTAGAGGTTTATTTTTATATAGCATCCACATTAAAATATGTTGTATTATAATGGTTATTTGAATTTTCTTGCTTTATGAAGCAAATTCAGACACTTTTACGTTGCCTGAGAGCTTTCTCTGCTACTAGCTGTAGGGATAGAGATGAGAAGGTGCAAGATAACTAATAAATGAAAGCATAAATGCCCTTACTGCATGTATGCTAATCGCTAATAAAGCATTAAGCAGTATCATGTTACACTGACTTAGGAAAACATAACTACATATGATCATGCACAAGAGTACAAATACATGTGCATAAGCCAGTTCTTTCTTACCATAATAAACCCATTGTTAAAATAATTAGTTGTTGCTGGGCTTGGTGGCACACGCTTTTAATCCCAGCACTTGGGAAGCAGAAGCAGGCGGATCTCTGTGACTTCAAGGCCAGCCTTGTGTGCATAGTGAGTTCCAGGCCAGCTGGGACTAGAGGAGGGAGACCTTGTCTCCAAAAGACAATAATAATAATAATAATATAATTAGTTGTTGAAACTATGTTAACTAATGCTCTTTACAGAATAAATTTCATCCATATAGAAGTGTATATATGTTTATATATTCTAAATCAATGAAATTGTGTTAGCTAACCCTTTTTCCAGAATAAATTCATCCAAATAACATATGTAATATATATGTATATATATATTCTAAATCATCAAAAAGGAAATAGCACATTTCATTTTAAAATGAGAGTTTAGAGCTTGTTCAGGTAATATTGTTCAGAAACAATAATATTGTTCAGAAAACAGCTATTGCATTTGGGATATATATGGTAACTTTAACCTGCTATCCTCTATGCTGATCTTACTGAGCTTTTGCTAAAAGATATACAACTCATCATTTATGAATATTAAGTTGTAGGTCAACCTTCTATATGCATCTGAGCTGACCTTTCATATTAAATTTCAAATACAATTACTGTAAGACTTTTTTCTGAGCTCAGAGTTTTTAAAATAGCAAGGGTTAAACTTGACTAATCAAATTTAGAGTATACAATTCATTGCATAAAAATCCTCCCATTTTGAGAAGTGAATGCTGCATGGATTTGCATATATTTATGAAAATATCACTGAGACTGTGAAGATTAAATACAAATATGATGAAACAATACTGAGCTTTGGCCTGCTGGATTTACTTTATGTCCATTTGCTTAAAATGTTTTTTTGGTAGGCGGAGTGTTCTTAGCTTATTAATAATTGGATGAATTATACATAGCAGGCCATACATTTGTATAGCTATGTATTAATATTTTGTGTCTTCATAGCATTTCTACATAGATTCACAGATTAGTAAGAGCAGAAACACAAGAGAAGACAAAAATCACTGTTTTATACTGGCATTCTCCAGAGCCCATTCCCTTTGTTTTCTTTTCAGGAAAAGCCTTTACCTCCTCTCAAAGGCCTCGGCCCACAAGCCCATTTTCTACGGACAGTAACACCAGTGCTGCCCTGAATCAAAGTCAGAGGCCTAGGCCCACCAAGAAACACAAGGGAGGGCGGATGGATCCACAGCCAGCATTGCCTCATCGAAGGGAAGGGATGCCAGATGGTAGGTTTCTTCCCTTTACTTTGACCTCCTCTCTGAAGAGATGTGCTTGTTCTGTGTAATCATTGACTTTGATTAAAGTAGCCATGGTAGATTAAACACTGCCAAATACCTACCAGTTCAGATACCTGGCAATCTGGTCATGTTTAATTAAAACACCCTCTTTAAAAAAATATTATACTGCTTTCATTTTATGTGTATGTGTCCATTGTCTACATATGTATAAGTGTACCTGTGTCTTTGTCCGAAGAAGACTTCAGATCCCCTGGAACTGGAGTTACATATGGTTATTAGTTGCCATGTGTGTACTGAGAATCAAACCTGGGTCCTCTACAAGAACAGTCAGTGCTCTTAACCTCTGAGTCATCTCTCCAGCCCCCCAAACACCCTCTTTCTAAACAATGTGGAGTTATTTCTGTATTATCATGCCTCATAAAGAACTATGATGCTCCTTGTCAGAGTTTTAGCTCTTGTGACATTTTCTACTAATGATTTTTAGCAAACATCTCTCTTTGAGATTAGGAAAGAAAGCATAAGTAGCATGTGTCATAATATCAGAACATTTATAATCTTACATTTCAATCTTTTAAAGGGTGTTTTTCTCTTAGAGAAGACCTTGAAATGATTTAGTAAAATTTTGTTTTCATGAACTTCAGAACTAAAAGTATGCTTTGGGTCACGGAGGTGAAGAATTTTTTGCTTTGAGCTGTGATTTTGAGCTGTGATAACAAATGATGATATCATTATGAATAGTAAAAAACATATAACAACTGAAGTTTAATACTCAGTTAAAAGTCTAGAAAGTTGGAGTGTTGGTATCTGTGGAGGGACCTCTGTGATTACAAATGGAGCCATCCTGTGGTGTCTCATATACGGACTTCAAAGGCATAAACATTCAGCTCGTAGGAAAGAATCAATTTTTTCCTGTTAATGTCCACATGGTATTTTTTATTTTGTTGGCATATGGTCTGTCTCTATTTTACTCATTGTTCAGCAAGTGTCATCATAGAAAAACAATTAAAAAACATAACTGGGAATGTGGCTCTGTTAATAGAATGTAAGTTTAGCATGCACAAAACTCTTAGTTGATTTGTCAACACTCCATAAATGGCACTGTGGCACATGCATGTAATCCCAGCAATGGTGAGATTAAGGCAGGAATATTATAATTTTGAGGATATCCTCAAATATATAGCAAGTTTTATGACAGACTGGGCTACAATGAGACCTTGTCTAAAAAGAGAGACAGAGAGAGAAAGAAGTACGGGAGGGAGGGAGAGAGAGAGAAGGGAAGGAGGAGGGAGGGAGAGAGGAAGGGATGGAGGGAGGGAGAGAGAGAGGGAGAGAGAGAGGGAGAGAGAGAGAGAGAGAGAGAGAGAGAGAGAAACAGCTGAAGAGATGGCTCAGCAGTTAAGAACATAGGCTGCTCTTACAGAGGACCTGCGATCAATTCCCAGTGGCTAACAACCATTTGTAACTCCAGTTCCAGGGGCATCTGATGTCTTCTTCTGACCGTCAAATGCATTGCAGGACATGGGTGCACTTTGACACATGCAGGCAATGCACTCATACACATAAAATAAAAATAATAAATAAAATATTTTTAAAAAGGAATAGCGCAATTTCAAAAATACTTGAATTTGACCAATGATTTATTTCAGTCTTTCATTTATATGTAACATCCATCTTTGAATATCTTATTATACACTACTGGTTTCAGGAAGCAGTATTATGAGAAGATGTCCATATTCAATAATGACTATTTCATTATCACCAGAGTATGGCTTATTTCTGATATTTTCAACTTAATTCTATTTTCTAAAATATAAACAAAGTATCTAGTTTGAAGTTTTCTTCTAAAACTATGTAATATATTTCAGGTGCCACTCTAATTTTAGACACAGGAACCACCCCCTCCCCCAGAGCTACCTTCTTATAACCACACAAATTTTATCCTGAGATTGTTCAAGTAAATATCAAAAGGTTGAACCTAGCCAAGATGACTGTAAGGACCATTTGGAAAGGCCTTAAAATTTTTCTTTCAAGTTCTGATTTGTCTGGGATAGAATCCAGCCTAGGTATTTCTGAGGCTCCGTGGGTGAATGTACCATACACCTAGCTTTAAGAAGCTAGATCTAAGGGCTGGAGAGATGGCTCAGTGGTTAAGAGCACTGACTGCTCTTGCAGAGGACCCAGGTTCAATTTCCAGCACCCACATGACAGCAATAAACCATCCTTAACTCCAGTTCCATGGGAATCCGAAGCCCTCTTCTGACCTTCACAGCATTGCACAACACCATTGTACGCACGTACATTCAGGCAATACACTCGTACACATAAAATAAAAATAATAAATAAAATACTTAAAAAAATAAACTAGACCTAGTATTTAGTATTCAGACCTATCAGTATGGGACCAAAACGAACCTTTGTTGGACATGAATAATGTTTTTGTTCTTTATTTTTATGTGGAGGGGTATTACTACTTGGAAACCATCTTCATGGTTTATTTTTCATCTTACAATAAGACTCAGAAATGCAAACATACTCCTTTTCTGCCTCAGATATTCTGAGGATTAATTGACTAAATAGTTTTTAGTACTGATTTCATTCTCTCCACATAAAAACTTCTTTCAGGGATGTGCTTATTGTAAATGTAAAAATTAGTTTTCTGGCTTGAATCACTCTTTTTAGGAAGGTTGTTGCTTAACAGCATTTACTGTATAAGCATTTTACATTAAACCTTTCAAATTATAGATTTTACAATAGCGTTATATGAGCATATTAATTAGTATAATTATTGTAGCTGCTTTTCCAAACCGTTAACTCTTAACATCTTAGCACAATAACAATATTTTTCTGAATGATACAATCATATTTCAAGATAAGTTGGCTCTCCTTTAAACAGTAGCAGAAGGATTTAGGACTTCTTGGGAATGAGGTAAAAATGAGAGAGAGAGAGAAAGAGAGAAAGAGAGAGAGAGAGAGAGAGAGATCCACCCATGTATGTTGAAACCACAGGTCAATGCTGGGTGTCTTTGTTAATAACTTTTCACATTTTTGTCTCTTGAACCTGGAGCTCATCAATTGCACTGACTGGCCAGCAGCGAGCCCCAGGAATACCCTTATTTCCACCTACCCAGCACTGAGATTATAGGTACCAATCATAGCACCCACCTTTTTATTTTTAATTTCTTATTGAGTTTTTGTAGTTTACGTAATGATTCTTAATCAATATAGGACCCTCCCCCATCAATGCTTCCACATCCCCCACCAGACCTCATGTATTCTGCCATACACATTAAGTCCCCAGATACCCAGATGTCCTTCAGTGTAAATTTGTCCATGAGTGTCTAGTTGGCCCATCTAGAAATTGTATGTAAGGCTTACTCTCCCTCATCCAGCATCAATCAATCTCCAGTAGTTCTCATTTAGGGCAGGTCCACAACCCATTTCTCTCTTACCCTCTGGGTCCTTGTTTGAGTTGGCGTGAGTCCTGTGCTCAATGCCACTATTGTCACAAGTTCACATGTGCAAGCTTCCAATGGACTGAAAGCCTCTGTTTCCCTGTGTCCATGAACCAGCCCTGGCTCTTACACTCTTTCTGCCCCCTCTTCCACAATGATCCCAGAGCCATGGATGGGTAAATTCAATGTAGGAGTCCCATTCAAAGATACACACTCTGCAGTCTACTATTCTCTAAAATTTGGTGAGTTGTGTGGTGGTGCACGCCTTTAATCCCAGCACTTGGGAGGCAAAAGCAGGCAGATCTTTGTGAGTTCAAGGCCAGCCTGGTCTTTATAGTGAGTTCCAGGACAGATGGGGCTACAGGGAGACCCTGTCTTAAAAAGACCTGTATATATATTTGGTGAGTTGTGGCTTACTGTGTTTATTTCACTCTGTTCTGTAAGGAAGCTTTGTTGGTGAGAGTTGAGGGATGTATTAGTTTTCTCTCTACCCCTTGTTCTGCTATGTTCCATGAGCCTTAGATGTAGAGGTTCAACTGTAGATGTGTCACCTAGTCCTGGGCATCTCTCAGATGTATATTCTCTATATCTGAGCTGTTGTGGAATTCTGCAGCAGCCCCCATCTGTTGTAAAAAGGAGATTCTTTGATGAATAGTGTACGATATGCTTGTCTATATATATAAGGATCCATATTTAGCACATGGTAGGAAATTTCATGTGTAGAGATATGTAAGAGATCGGGTTTTTTCTAGGATCTATGTTCTCTCCTGCCATGTGTCTTTGTCTGAGTTTACAGTGCCACTCATGAGTTCACTTCCATTGAGAGGGCTGATTTACCCCCATATAACAGTGCCACTATTGCACCAATAGAGGTAGTTTGCCGTGCTTGTCATTATCGTTATTAGGGTCTAGGGCTGGGTTAAACCATCAATTGTTTTTCTCTCTTAGCAGTTTGCTTATACCATCTAGCATTATGATAGCTAAACATCTTTATTTTTTTTTAACCTGGGTACTGGAGGAGTGACCTCAGGGCCTCATGCTTGCACAGCATTCATCTTACCTACCTACCCATCTCCCGTAACATCAGTTTTGGATTCTGAGACAGAGAAAGACAGATCGCTGTTGGTTAGTGGGAGGTCCTAGTGGCAAGTGTCACATATCACTTTTCATGTATCATTGTCAAATTAACTTCTGTGGAGAGAAAGTGATTTTCTCTGTGTCCTGTAAGAGGACTGTAGAATGATATGAAATGTCAGTCTCTTTCCCAAAGGCTATGTAAAAAGGTGACATACATTTAAGAAAAATGCTTGTCTTGTGCAATGTCTTTACTAGGTTGGCATTACTAAATCTAAACCTTCTATCCTTGGAAAGCAATACCTTGACCACGCTGGAGAAAGGAAGCAGATGCCCACTCATTGTGTTTTCCTGAGCTCATCTTCCAAACCCTTCTGTCTTTCCTTAGCTTTTAGTATCCAGTTAAAAAAGTGTATTTCTTTAGATCTGTCACCTAGTAGCTTTCTGCAAATTGATGTGTTC